TGGGGGGGGTTTATTTGGGTTGGGGGGCTCACGGGGGGCTGGGGGGCTCACGGGGGGTCGCTCAGCTGGCCAAGGAACACGGCATTCGCTTCTTCGAGACCAGCGCCAAGTCCAGCCAGAACGTGGAGGAGGTGAGGGGGGGTCCCTGGGGCTGCACCCCCGCGTTTGCCGGGACAGGGGGGTCCCTCCCTCCTCCCGGGGGTGGTGGGGGGGGGGTCCCCGGGCACTGCCCCCCCTCTGAGCAGCCCCCCGTGGTCCCCCCAGGCTTTCCGCACGCTGGCGCGGGACATCCTGCACAAATCCTTCCGCAAAGCCGTGAGTGGGGCCGGCATTTGGGGGGGTGGGGGGCAGGCCAGGGACCCCCCTGCGCCCCCCTGACCCCCCCCTCTCCCCGCAGCCCCCCGGCAGCAGCAGCAGAGCCCTGCTGGAGCCCGGGCCCCCCCGGAAGGCCGGCGGGAGATGCTCCCTGGGGTAGGGGCTCCCCGAGACCCCCGGGGCAGCGCAGGCGCCTCTCCGGAGGGATCTGGGGGGGAATCTGGGGGGATTTGGGGCTGCCCCCCTCTCTCCTTGTGCCATAAAGCCCCGCTGTGCCTTGGCCCGGCTCCGGAGTGTCTTTGATGGGGTTTGGAGAGGGGGGAACGGGGTCGGGACCGGGACGGGGATCAGGATCGGGACGGGGATCAGGATCGGGACCGGGATCAGGATTGCGACCGGGACCGGGATCGGAACCGCGACCGGGGTCGGGACCGCGATCGGGACCAGGACCGGGGCCGGGATCGGGACGGAGATCAGGATCAGGACCGGGATCAGGATTGCGATCGGGATCGGGATCGAAGACGGGACGGGGATCGGAACCGCGATCGGGATCGGGACCGGGACCGGGATCGGAACCGCGATCGGGATCGGGACCGGGATCGGGACCGGGATCGGAACCGCGACCGGGATCGGGACCGGGATCGGAACCGCGATCGGAACCGCGATCGGGATCGGGACCGGGACCGGGATCGGAACCGCGACCGGGATCGGGACCGGGACGAGCGGCGGCGAGGCCGCGCCCAAGCCACGCCCACAGCGCCAAACTTGGATTAATACCACGCCCACTCTCCTAGCCACGCCCCACACCGTGCGCAAATCCACGCCCCTAATTAACCTGAAAACCACGCCCCTAACTAAATAAGTCGTGCCCGTTATGGTCAAGCCTCGCCTCTTTATGGCCTTCTAGCCACGCCCCTCTCTCCCATTGGCTGAGCCCTGCGCCTCGGCCAGGCCCCGCCCTTCCCCTCCCGGCACCCCCGGCAGTTCCAACATGGCGGCGCCGCTGTCGCGGCGGGGCCGGGCCCGGTAGTTCCCGGTAGCTCCCGGAAGATCGCGGGGGTTCCTGGGGCTTTCCCGCCGATCCCGGCGCCCCGATGGGGCCCGGCGCCCTCGCGGTGCTGCTGGCGGTGCTGAGCGCCGTACCGGCCTGGCTGCGGTGAGCGGGGACCGGGGGGACACCGGGAGTGGGAGGGCCGGGCCCGGTGCGGGCCCTCACGGCAGCTCCTCTGTGCCCACAGCCCGGCGGCGGCGGCGGCGGCGGCGAGCGAGGAGCGGCCCGGTGAGCAGGGCCGGGCCGGCGTTTGGGACGGTGCCGGGAGCTCGGACCGGGGCCGGGGGCTCGGACCGGGGGGCTCGGTCTGGTCCCGGGGGCTCGGACCGGGATAGATCCGGGGCTGGGAGGCTCGGTCTGATCCCGGGGGCTCGGAGCGGGATAGACCCGGGGCTGGGAGGCTGGGGACGGAGCGGTCTGTCCGGTGGCGGGCTCTTGGTCCGGCCCGGGCTCTGTCCGGTACCGGGCGCTCCCGGCCGGTCCCGGTAACGCGCTCCCCCCGCAGCGAGCCCCGCGGTGGCCACGCCGTGCTGGCGGGTGGAGCAGTTCGTGGTTGCCCAGGAGTGCGCGCGGTGCTCCGGCTTCGAGATGGTGAGTGCGGCTCCCCCGGGCGGCTGCGGGGTCCCCGGTTGTCCCGGGGGTCTCTCCGTGACCGAGCCCTCCGTGCAGAAAACGATCCCGGCCTGCGGCCCCACCGGCTTCATCGAGAAGATCAACTGCGCCTCGTCCCACCGGGATGAGTACAAGAGGTGGGGCCGGGAATTAACGGGGGGTTGGAGTCGGGAATTAACGGGGAATCGGGGCTGGGAATTAACGGGGGATTGGAGCCGGGAGTTCCCGGGGGAGCGGGGCTGGGAATTCCTGCGGGATTGGAGCTGGGAATTCCCGGAGCATGGGGGCCAGGAACTCCCGGGGATCGGGGCTGGGAATTAACGGGGGATTAGGGCCGGGAATTAACGGGAGAGCGGGGCTGGGAACTCCCGGGGGATTGGAGCTGGGAATTCTAGAGGGATCAGGGCTGGGAATTAACAGGGAGTCGGGGCTGGGAATTCCTGTAGATTGGGGCTGGTCGTTCCCAGGGGATCTGGGCTGGGAATTGCCGGGGATGGGGCTGGAGATGGGGCCGGGAATTGCCGGGGATGGGGCCGGGAATTGCCCGGGGATGGGGCCGGGAATTGCCGGGGATGGATCCGGGAATTGCCCGGTGATGGGGCCGGGAGTTGGAATTGCCCGGGGCTGGGGCCGGGAGTTGCCCGGGATGGGGCCGGGAGTTGCCGGGGCTGGGGCCGGGAGTTGCCGGGGCTGGGGCCGGGAGTTGCCGGGGCTGGGGCATCCCCCGGGGCCGGGAATTGCCCGGGGCTGGGGCCGGGAGTTGCCCGGGATGGGGCCGGGAGTTGCCGGGGCTGGGGCCGGGAGTTGCCGGGGCTGGGGCCGGGAGTTGCCGGGGCTGGGGCATCCCCCGGGGCCGGGAATTGCCCGGGGCTGGGGCCGGGAGTTGCCCGGGATGGGGCCGGGAGTTGCCGGGGCTGGGGCCGGGAGTTGCCGGGGCTGGGGCATCACCGGGGCCGGGAGTTGCCCGGGCTGGGGCCGGGAGTTGCCGGGGCTGGGGCCGGGAATTGCCCGGGGCTGGGGCCGGGAGTTGCCGGGGCTGGGCCATCACCCGGGCCGGGCCCCGCAGCTGCCGCTCGGCCGCGCTGGAGTCGCGGCGCTTCTGGCGCTTCGTGGGCTCCGCTCTGGGCGTGGCGGCGGCGGCGGCGGCGCTCGTGGTGCTGCGGCAGCGCGTGCTGGACCGGCGGGCGCTGGAGAAGGTCCGCAAACAGATCGAGTCCATCTAGCCAGAGGCTCCCGAGGGCTGGGAGCCGGGAATTGCGAGGAGAGGCAGCCCCTGCCCCGCTGCCCGGAGCTGGAGTCCCGCTGGGATGTGCCTTGGGAGAGCAGCCAGGGCGTGGCCCGGGGCGGGATGTGGAATTAATCCCAGCAGTGACGCTGGGTTCGTCCCTTGGGGGGAATTCCCAGCACTTGGATCCCCTCCCAGCACTGGGATCTGCTCTGGGATCATCCTGGGCATCCTCCAGGAGAGGGATGTGGAATAAATCCTGCTCGTCGTTCCTCGTGTGGTGCTGTGTTTGTTTCCTGGGGGGAATCTCTGCTTCCTCCAGCACTGGGGGTCCCTGGGAACCCCCCAGGAGTGAATGTGGGATAAATCCCGATCCATGTGCCTGCAGCAGCACTGGAATGTTCCCCATTCCCGCCCCCCCCGGCATTCCAGAGGGTGCAAACAGAACGTGGATTTATTCCGGATTTATTCCCACCCTGAGGACCCCCGTCACATCTCATCCCCATGTCCCCGTGTCCCTGTCCCCGTGTCCTGCCTGGAGGAATTGCTGCCTGGATCCCTGGGGGGGGTGGGAATCCCATCCCCGGGCACCCCCCCGGCCCCGTCCTCCACCCCGGGTCCCGGCTCTGGCCCCGGTATCCACCGGGGGAACGGGGATTCTGCGGCCGCTCCCGGCTCCCGCCGCGCCAGGATGTTCCTGGAGGTCACTGCGGGAACAGGGACAGCCGTGGTGGCGCTGGGGCGGGGGGCGCTGTCCCCACCGCCGCTCCCGGTGCTCCCGTTACCTCCGGTGGGTCCGAGGCCGTCCCGGCTGCCGCCCCGGCGGAACGGGCTGGAGCTGGGGAGCAGGATCAGCCCCAGCGACAGGAACAGGATCTGCGGGAGGCACGAGAGCCGTGAGCCCCGGAGCCGCTCCCGGGGGGCTCCCGGGAGGGTCCCCGAGGGGCCGTACCAGGACACAGGTGCCGGTCTGCGCGGGCTTGCCGGACGTTTCCTTGATCAGCGCCTGGAGCTGCCGCAGGAGAGACCTGCGGGAACGGGGCTCAGCTCCGTGCCCTTCCCGGTGCCCCCTTCCCGGTTCCGTGCCCATCCCGGAGCTCCCCGCGCTCACCCGTTGCTCGTCTCCAGCTCCTGGACCTTTTTCCGCAGCTCCTGGTTCAGTGCCGAGCACGCAGCCGCCCTGCCCGGGCAGAGACGGGGACAGTGACCGGGGCACACCGGGACACACCGGGACAACCGGAGGGTCGGGATAACGGGAACGCCGGCCCCACCTGCTCTCCAGCTCGTCCAGGTATTCCTTCTTCCTCCGCCGGCTGTCCTGCGCCGACTGCTTGTTCCGGATCTTTCTCCGCACCTTTTTTAGGAGCCGCTCCTCGGCCTGGAGCACGGAGCGGTCACTGCTGTCCCCCCTCCCCGGTCCCCCCGACCCCCCGTGTCCCCGCACGCACCTGGGTGAGGGGCAGGTCCCCCGGCAGGGTCACCCCCTCCTGCGCCAGCAGCCGCCGCTCCTCCTCCGTCAGCCGGAGCTGCGGGACGGGGATGGACTGGGGGGGTCCGGGGGGGTCCGGGGGTGAACTGGGAGGGGCTGGGGGTGAGCTGGGGACTCACCGTGGGCTGGGGGTCGGGGCTCGGGGCCAGCTGGATGCCGGGGAGCAGCGAGGGGAACAGGGGCGTGCTGAGGTCGCAGACCACCTCCAGCAGCACCGGGGGGGTCCCCTCGGGCCGGGGGGGCTCCGGGCCGGTGCCGAGGCCGCAGGCGATGTCGGGGTTCACCGTCAGCCCCAGCAGCTCCTCGGCTCCGCTGCCCTGCGCGGATACCGTGACGGGACCCCCGGGACATCCCGGTGTCCCCGTGGGGGTCCCGCGCCCCTCCCACCCCCACTCACATCATCCTCCGGGAGCGTCAAGGTCTGGAAGCTCAGCACCGGCACCGGGAGCGAGGCGGGATCCGGGAAGAGCCCGTCCGGCTCCGGGAGCTCCGGTGCCTCCATTGGGGCTCCCTGGGGACCCCCCCGCGGGATCCCTCGAGCTCCGACCCCCGGGGATGAACCCCCTGCGCCCCCTCCTCGGGGTTCCCCGGTGGCGCCGCCGCCTCCGCCCGGTGCCGGCGCTGGGCACCAGGATCTCCGGGATCCCGGGGAATCCAGCCAAGTCCCGCCCCGTGCCGGGAAGGGCCGGGATCGTCCCTCCCCCAGCGGGGCTCGGGGCTCCGGCCGCCCTACCGGGGCACCGGGGGCACCGGGGGGGTGCGTCTGCCCCGGTACCGGGAGGGTCTCGCGGGGGAACCGAGAACGGGGCCGAGCCTGGGGCGGCTCCGGTGGCTCTGTACCGGAGCCGGTGACCCCAGCGCCCCCGGTAACGGAGTTCGGGGTGGAGGAACGGGGGGAAGCCCCCGGTAACGGGGTCCGGGAGTGCAGGAACGGGGAGATCCAGCCGGTAACGGGGGCCAGGGAGCGGCACGGCGGGCACCGGGAGGATTCCCCCGCCCCGCCCGGCCCGGCGGACACGCGCGCGCTCCCGGGGCCGCGCGGGCTCCGCTCTCTTCCTATTGGCTGAGCCGCACGTCAATCAGTGACGCCAGCGGGGATTCCGCGGCACCATTGGCTGGGCTGGCGGAGGCGGCGCCGCCCCCCGGAGTTCCCGGGACGCGGTTGGGATGCGGCGGGCGGTGAGTGCGGGGGTCCCGTCCCTGTCCCGGCCCCGGCCCCGGCCCCGGCCCCGGCCCCGGCCCCGGTTCCGATCCTAGTCCCGGAAAAGCCGATCCTTGACTCCCGCTCCTTATTTCCCGGTTCCCGCTCGGTCCCGTTCCTCGGTCCCGCTTCGCAATCCCGGTTCTTGATCGCGGTCCCAGTCCCGGTTCACGATCCCGATTGCGGTCCTGGTCCCCGGTCGCGGTCCTTGTCCCCTAACGCGCTCTGCGGTGCCCAAGTTCCCCATCCCGGTCCTCGATTCCCGTCCTTGTTCCCCCTCCGGTCCCTCCCGTGTCCCGGGGCCCCCGGGCGGGGTGAGGGGGGGGTCGGTGCCGGGTGAGTCACCGGGACCGGCGGGGGGGCGGCTCTGAGCGGCCCGTCCCGTTCCAGCCCCGCTCGCCGGGGATGCGCAGCGCGGCTCGGAGCTTCCCCGGCGGCGGGCGCTGAGCTCCGGGATCGCGATGGACACCGGCACCGGAGCCGCGCTGGCCTGGAGCCCCGGGGCGGCCTCGCAGCCCCCGCCCGGGCTGGCCGTGAAGTTGGGGTCGCTGGTGCTGCTGCTGCTGCTGCCCCTCGCCTGCGGCCTCGCGCCCCTCTGGTGCTTCCGACAGCCCCCCGGTACCGGGTCTGGGGGGGGTCTCAGGGGTTTGGGTGTTTTTGTGGAGTTGGGGGAGTCTGAGGTGGAGGGGGGGTCGTGGGTGTCTGGGGGCTCATGGAGTTTGGGGGGTCTCAGGGTTCCCGGGGGTCCTGGGGGTGTCCCGAGGGGTCTGTCAGGGTGCAGGGCTGAGGAGGGGGGGGGGTCTCTTTGGGGTCTCAGCCCCCCCCTTTGCCCCGCAGACCCCCGCAGCCCCGTGCTCAGCCTCGTGAGCTGCTTCTCGGGCGGGGTTTTCATGGGCACCTTCCTGCTCGACCTCCTGCCCGACTACCTGGGCAGCATCGCTGCGGCGCTGGAGGGGCTGCGCGTCACGGTGAGACCCCCGGGACGCCCCCGGGCGCCTGTCCCTGTCCCCACGGGGTCCCTGTGCCCAAGGGTGTCCCTGTCCTCTGGGGGTCCCTGTCCCTGTCCCCACGGGTGTCCCTGTCCCCAAGGGTGTCCCTGTCCCCTGGGGGTCCCTGTCCCCTGGGGGTCCCTGCCCCCATGGGTGTCCCTGTCCCCAAGGGTGTCCCTGTCCCCACGGGGTCCCTGTCCCCTGGGGGTCCCTGTCCCCACGGGTGTCCTTGTCCCCGGGATCGGGAAAGGGAGGGGGTGGCTGGGATGGGGACAGTGCAGTGGGGACAATGACAATGGGACAAGGACAGAGGGAGGACAGAGTGAGAGTGGGACAAGGAGAGAGGGGCGACAGTGAGAAAGGGACAAGGACAGAGCACGGACATTGCAGGGGGGACAGTGAGAAAGGGACAAGGACAGAGCACAGACAGTGAGAATGGGACAAGGACAGAGTGGGGGACAGTGAGAAAGAGACAAGGACGGAGGGGGGACAATGAGAAAGGGACAAGGAGAGAGGGGGGACAGTGGGGGTGTGACAAGGACAGAGCACGGACAGTGCAGGGGACGCAGTGAGTGGGACACAGAGGGCACTGAGGATGGTGAAGGACAGGGCAGCTGGGACAACACAGAAGGGACAGCAGGGCCACAATGGTGACACCATCCCGGGAATGGTGACACGTCCCCGGGAGCCCCTCGAGCCCCGCATGACGCACGCCAAGCTCCTCACGTGCCCGCAGCTTCCCCTTGGCGCTGACCCCCCGCTTTACCGCAGCTGCAGTTCCCCCTGCCGGAGTTCATCCTGGCCATGGGCTTCTTCCTGGTGCTGGTGCTGGAGCAGGCGACGCTGGCGCAGCGGGAGCTGGCCGAGCCTCCCGAGGAGTGGCGGGCGCTGCTGCCCGGCCCCTCCGTCCAGGCGGCGGGCGCGGCGGCTCCCGGGGGTCGCGGGGCTCTGCGCGCCGGGGCGCTG